TTTCTCTGGCTATAGCTAGCTGTATTAGCTATATACAGTATAGAGAGGTTTAGAAGCAATGGACTTGTTTAGCCTACACAGTGAACTATGAGAGAAAAGTATTGTTCTATAAACAGTAAGAACAACTTGTTTGTGGTGAAACCCGGTGTTAATGCAAAAACAAATGGCATTAAAATTTTTTATAGTGGTTATTTTGTACCCACCAGAGGGTTTAGGAATTGGCATTTCTATTATGAGCAATTGATGCAAAAACATTGAGACACCTCTCATACAGCTTGGTACCCTTATTGAATGGATTAGTGTTGCCTGTCATAGCAGAAAGCTGAAAATGGCCCAGTGAAGTCTTGGCTGTTGCCAAAACTAACAGCTTCCTGAGGTAGAGAGGAGGAGGAGACAACTTAGTGAGTTCTATGTTGGATTTTGGAAAGAAGGTGGGAGTTCTGTGCTATTGGGTTCAGAATTTCTACAGCAAAGACCAAAATTACTGTCACATCAATGTTACCAGGATCTGCTGCTCTGAGATTAAGGCAGGGAGAGGAGGGTTGGAGGAAGGAATATTAGTCAAAAAGCAAATTAAAAACTCCAGTGTAAGCTTTTTTAAAAAAAAAAAAGGACTTTTTTCTTGTTTTAAAAGCAACTTGAAAGCTCCGGTGTAACCTTTTCTTTTATTATGGATCTTACCTTAACAGTATAAGCAGTGAACACTGGCTAATGCAGTAATGTCTAGTGTAACACTGTAGATGTAAACTGCAGGGCAGATACCTACACCTAGTCTTCTTCAGTGAGAGTTCTTCACAAAGAATCGTAAGTCTTTTCTCTCTGTTTTTCCTCCACCCTTATCTCTTATATTCACGTATGTAAAGTTACATGAGTATTAATGTACCTATATATTAATGTTTAGCTTGGGAATAGGTTCTGTAAGTGAAGCTGCAGAGTAACTCTTTGAAGATGTAAGCAACAGTTCATTTTCTCGCTAAACCTGCTTAGCCATTTTACTTGTGAGACAAGGAGTAACCTTTCTAGCTAGAAGCCGTGCTTCTTCTCAAACAGTTCTGCGTTGAAAGTGAAACTGTATATAAATATGTCCCTAAGGGGTTTAAGTATAGTAGTGTTCCTTATCTATGGTTTAGGGTTCAGGGAGCCTTGCAGTGCTGCTCTCTGCTGCAGCATGCAGATACTGCAGGTGCATTCCTGCATGCCAGCACAGCAGTTTCTGCTTTCCTTGGAGCAGCTTAGTGCAGCCTGACAGCAGAGGCCTTTGTAACTCTAAGGATTCAGATAAAACCACCAAGTTGAAAAAAAAAAATCATCAAGAAAGGCAAGATTTAACAAAGTAAATACAGTAGACAGGGCTGCAGGGCTGCACAACGTTCAGTTGCTTCAAGACCTTATAGCTGTGTCAATTTAAAGGAGCTTTGTTGGATTCATATATTGAGTGTCTGATCTTGTCACAGTATAGGCTCAGTAAGTGCCAAAGCTGTGTCCTCCCTGTCCCCATGGCATAGCTGTGATACTTCTCTATTCTTGATTTCATTCTTACATGTATATTCTATGACAAACTTAATGCTGTTCTTCCAGCATTTTCTATTTTGCTCACTGTTTGTGAAATCCTAATGCTGATCTGTTTAGTGTCAGGTATGGGAGAGTGTTTTGCAGTGTTGTTTTTTTCCTTTGTTCTTGCTGAACTTGTTGTGCAAGAGGCTGTCTCTCTCTTACACTTGTATTGAGAGCTGGAGGGCTTCCTCCTGTATATTATTACTAGCTACAACTAATAGCACAGGGTGCTCTGTGAGGCATGGAGAACTTTTGAGAAAGAAATGTGCCTGTTTATGCTTTTCTGTGGGTGCTCAAATGGCACTTTAGACACACCATTGTCTTCAGCTTTCCAGCTGCTTTGACGTGGTAACTTCGACTGTGTAAATTGCAGAAGATAAATATGTTGCGTCATACTGTACCCTTTTCTATATTTTTTGTGATGTGTAAAGATAGCTGCAGAGATAAAGGTATCTTCCAAGAAGGTGATCCTGACTACATATAGTTTGCACATGAGAGTAGATTAGATAATGGCTGTTTACTTCCTTAGTGCTTTGAATCTAAAAATGTTCCCCCTAAGCAAATTGGAAGACTTATTTTATATACTCCCCACAGAGAGCCTTCAGCAGAGTTCAGCTGCTGTCCCCTACCAAGTGTGCGTTGCATCTTTTTGTGTTGCTGCCAGATAGATAGAGTTCTGGAGGGAGAATCCATGTTTGTGTAATTGCAAAGCTAGCTATTATGGCAGCTTTCCCTAGTGTGCCTGCTGTCTCTGCACTGTGTGATAACCCTGTCGTACTGAAGCAATGTTTTCTGATGAGCTGAGGCAGGGAGGAAGTATATTTTCTCTCTATAGTTCTCCTGAGTTATTCCTGATATCCTGATGCTTTTCCTGACTAGACCTGAGGTTTTTAACAGCTAAGAAAGTTTACCAACACTTTTGAGGTTGGTGTCTTTCATGCCTTTTAAAGCTCTTTGTAAGTCAGACACCTCACTTGGGTTATCTGACTTTTCTAAGCTGGTATCCAGTACCTATCTGAAGTGCACAAGCTGCTTTGGAACACTGTCACCTCACTTCAGAGTGACAGTGTGTTGAATTCATTATAGGCTAAGCCCCTACTCATACAGTTTGCTTCTACATAGACACTTTCTGCTCTGCTCTATAACTGTAGAGTTTTGTGCAGGAACTTGTGTTCACACAGTCTACAGGAGACTCGGGGACATCCTGAAAACATGGTTCACCAAGGCTCTGAGGTTCAGCACAGTAGCCAGCCTGTCCCCTGGGCTTATGTCTGTGTCACCCAAACGGAGCTATACTGGTTAATAGCATGTTTATTGAGTAGTTTGAAAAGCTTCCTCTAGCATGTATATATGTGTGCTTCAGCTAGCTTCTCTCTTTTTAATGCACAACAAGCCCTGTCACCACTGTCCCATGGTCCTGGCTGCAGGTGCCTTTGCTGAATCACCAAAGGCCAGACAGAAGGGGAACTAGCGCTAAAGGATCCTACATCCCTGCCAGAGGAAAAGGGGACAGAGTGGGTAGCAGATGTTCCCACCTTAAAACAGCCTTGACAGGGAAAGTTAAGTTATACTTTAGGCCCCAGAGAGTTGTAGAGAGTCAAGATTTGGCAGGCAACTTAAAAACTGTTGCATCTTGATTGTCAGGCTCTTAAAACAGAATTTGAAGAGTCTACATTTATTTTATGTTCCAGTGATTTTTGTCCAGACATTGCACTGGAAGGAGAGCTAGCAGAAGGAATGGAGAACAGCCTAGAAGTGAGAGCAAACCCACAGTTTCCAGAGTCCCAGAAGCTGCACCAGAAAGAAAATACTGTGATTATTGTCACACTGAAAGCTGGTAAAAGACCTAGATGTTCTTTTTGATGCTAGTGAAGTTGGATATTAGACTTACTGCCGCTTCTTTTGGTTGCAGTTCTGCAGTATATCAGGCTTTTGATTTTTAGGAGGTATTTTTATGTTGGGGGTTTTGGTATCAAAAGCTGAAATCAGGGAATGCAGGGAAGAAAAGAATGCATTTTTAGTAAGATAGTTTTTCTTTGGGGAAAAGGGGAAAGTGTGTTTCTGCTTTGTATATCTTAAGTGGTCAGAAAGTTTGCATCCACTTGGTATCAATTACACATATATTTGTAATCAGCTTTGTCATCATACTGAATTGGCTGTGCATGGTCCAGGAGAAATGAGAGTCAAATTTGAAGAAATATGGTCCTGTTCTTCCCTGATGTAGTCAGATCAAAAGGCGCATTGAGATGAATAATAAAGTCCAAGTCAAGAAAAGACATTATGATTCAGATGGTATCCCTCAGACTCTGCAAAATTCTGGAATAAGGCAGATCTTCAGTTTAACTAACAAAGAAACTACTTCTGAATTAGAGGTATCTTCAAAGTCAAATGTATAATTCAGTAGAGGCCTCTGCTGGATGAGATGCTTTATGATGCTCAGGTCAGACGCTTAAATTATATGCTTTTTCCCCTGGTTTCGTAAGATGGTGTTTCCCATGTGCTGTTCAGATGATCTCAATGGGCATCGCATTCCCATGCTTCCCCTTTCCTTATTCTGTGCCTGCACAGAGTCTGTTTGACTTCTGTTCAGAGCTTCTTTTTGGGATATTCGTTGTTACCAGCTAGAATGAGCAGCCTATATTGGAGGGCAGTGCAGCTCATATCTGTGTATAAGGTAGAATTATCTAGCAACAGTATTTTTGTGTTGAATGCTTCATTACACCCATTCCACTGTGTTTTATGCTGCTAAATTCTCTGATCATGTATGTAAATCCCACCTTCAGGCATGGTCTTTAAAATTACATTAAGAATCCAGCTTACCACTTAACACAAAAATTCTTACCTGAAAGTACTTTCCTTAATCATTTAAAGCAGAAGATGTATCTTTTTTTTTTTAAAGGAGAAATCTCAGAATAATACTAATTATTATGCATGCATACGCACACATGCATACAGTGGAATTGCAATGTGTAAATAGAAACAAATAAATACAAAATATCAAAGACTAAAAAATAAGAATATGTACATATAAAAGAGCAGCTGGCAGCCAGCCCTGGAGCAGACTTGCCGCATCCTTGTGATACCAAACTGTCAGTCGTGTAGAAAGGAACCTATGAACCTGAGAAGCTGCAGTATTAAACTTGAAACTTTCCGATACATCTTGCTGAGAATGACACTAATGTTCTGTTGAATTCTGAGGCACTTATCTCCATTTTAGCCCTTTTTTGGTTCTGTGCCAGGAGGCAGCAGTCACCGAGCACCTGATAAAAATCTGTGAGCAGATTACCAGTTCCTTGGGCACTGATGCGTTCCCCACCTCTTCTGCTTTCACAGCCAGATGCAACCTCAGCGAGAGTGTAATCCTTCCTCTGCTTCGCTGGCTTGTGCTGACAGGTTTGCTGTGTATGAGGCTGTCCTCAGTTTTTCTGGTCTCTCTTCCTTCCAGAATGGCATGCTCTCTGAATGAGTGGCTGTGGCAGCATGAGTTCTGGCTGCCCCCAGGAATCACCTGGCAGGACATGCAAGAGTCTGAAGACGTCCATTACCCTCAGCCTCGTGATCTCCTGCTCAGTATCCCTTTTGCTTTAATCTTGGTTGTCATTCGATGTGCCTTTGAAAGGTAAGTTATTTAGTAGTGTTTGGGGTTTTTTAGGGATAATGCTGGCAGTTTGGGTCCAAAAGCTGGCTTTATTGTCTGTGGCAATGTATAACTGCAGAGGTCCACAGATACTCCAGGTCATAAAGTCTGCTGAGGTACATTTTCCAGCTCTTTCTTTCCAGCCCTGTGTACTGGCTAAAGAAGTGTGTTGAATATAGGACATAAACCCTACCCTTAAGGTCTAATTGTAAGCAATGTGACTTCCTACATTTAATACAGGTAGGCCCTAGATGAGGTTTATAATTGTGTTTTAGAAGGCAGACATGCAGTTTTGTGTTCTGTTGCACGTTACTTGCTGTTTCTGGGTCAAGCGCAGCAGAAATCATGTTTAGACTATGCAAATACAGTTACGTCTCCTTTATCTTGGGTAATGGGGATCTGGGGTATCGCACCTGACAGATAAGCCTGAATAAGATGCATTAGATGGGGCTGAGTCATCTGACCTCAGACTCAGCACCACATAGCCACACGAACATGTGCATATCACTGACCACTGCTCAGGGTTCAGGAATGTCATTTCTTTGGGAGTGCCATGTAGAGACATTTGTAGCTGCTGCTTTCTGGCCAGAGCCATTTGAGTGTTTTGCCTATTACTCTTCACTGCAGAAAATTTGGGAGTTATGGCAAAGGCACAGCTAGAAATCCTGCAGGGTTCATTGACTCTGAGTTTCATAAGGGTCCTGAGCTGGTGTTGTTGCTTTGTACAGTTTAGTCAATAGTTAGTGTGGTCTGCAATACAGTATGATTTGCCGGTAGATAACTGAGATTTACCATAGTGTCAGCCATTGTCAAGACTGCAAAGTCCCCTTTCATGATTTTGAATACTCTTCAAAGTTGTCTTCACTGGATTGAAAAATCCCTATTCCTAGTTGCTGATCAAAGAGGTAATCTTTTGAAATACTTTAGTCAAGTCTAGAGTGGCTTTAAGCTTAGGAAGAGGGGAAAAAAGACTTTTAAAGTGTTTTTGTCATCTTTTTTTTAAAAAGTGGCTGCACAAGAAAAGGAAGCAGACCTCTGTAAAGTAGAAAGATGTTTCTTCTCCAGATTCTCTGTGATACAAGGACAGCTTGGAAAAGTTTATAGAAGTTGAAATGATTCAGAGCTCTGCTGTGGAATGTTTCTAATAAAAAAAAAATCATTATAGCTAGTATTTTTACATTAACACAAATCCATGAATGATTCTTCAAATAATCATTTTATGAAGCTACAAAATTGGAATCCAAATCTCTTCTTTGTAAACAATATGTTTAGTATGCGTTCCATAAATTCCATGGATTTTATCCTGCACTTTCCTGGGGACACAGGTGTCTCGGTTACCTCTGCTGATGTGGGAACCAAGGTATTGTAGGTAACCATTAAAACACAAGTGAGTTGCATTTCTTCCTTGCTGATCTGCAAGACATGGCTGAATACAGTACTCCTTCGGGCAGGCACTGTCAGTCAGTGACTTGGACACATTTGCAATGTGAAGCTGGAGATTAGCCCCTGTGTCCTGCATTGACTAGAACTGTCCAATTCTAGGCTCCCCAGTACAAGACATGAACAGGAAGAAGAAGGAGCCGAACTCTTCTCAGTGGTGCCCAGTGACAGGACAAGAGGCAGTGGGCACAAATGGAAATGTGTGATACTCCATCTGAATATAAGAAAATGTTTATCTTGCTGTGAGAGCGGTCAAACATTGGAACAGGTTCCACAGAGGGAGAATGGAGTCTCCATCTGTGGAGATACTCGAAACCCAGCTGGACACAGCCTTCCACAGCCTGCTGTAGCTGACCCTGATTGAGCAGCCGAGGTGGGCTGGATGATCTCCAGAGGTCCCTTTCAGCATTGATTCTGTGCTGCTGTGACTCTGTCCCTTTATCCCCATTCCTCCTGCCACGCAGCTCCTAGTCAATCTAAATATCTTTTCCATCCACTTTAAGATGCGGATGGCCAGGTAAAAAGACTTTTTGCTTTCCTATCCAAACGCTGCCTCAGCTGGGAGAGTTTCCACAGGCCTGGTCCTACTCATTAATTTTAAAGCTGTTTTGATTCACAAACTTCATTAAATAAAAGCTTCTTGTCACACCCTTGAAAAAAGATAATATCACAAGCCCATTTTACTGCTCCAGGAAACCTATAATCATACCACTATCTTACCTATGCAAATTACAAGCCACTGTTCTGAGCTGTATTATTGTTTGTCCTAACTATCTGCAGTCATTTATTTCAGCATGACATTTTCTCATTCTCAATCATTACTCTTTCACACTCAGTTCATCCTGGAGAAGAAAGCTTCTGCTAGTGAATGGGAGGTATGAATCAAGTCCTCTGTTGCTCCGTTACCTTGTGTGTACAGTGGTGCTAGCCCTGTTTAAAATAATTTGCACAAAGTTTGAGAATTGCAGACTGAAAGGATGCATGTGTTATTTCTCATTCTCCGTGTAGATGGCCTTGACTTTGTAGCTTTGTACATCTGGTCTGTGGGTCAAAATGAGTGTATGTAACTAGTGTACAAGTTTGGTTTTGGTGGGTTTAGCTTGGCCTCTGGCAATTTATTCTACCCTCACTTATTACTTGCAACTGTGCATCAGGCGCAAAGCATTTTTTTCCTCTAGATACGCTCTGTGTTCCTGGTGGTGCCTGCTCTGGGATTTCAGAAATGCTGTAATATGTTCATGTCATTTATCTGTGTCAGAACTCCAGGAAAATACTAAGAGGCAGGAGAAGCCCAGAGGATTTTCTGCAATCCCTCGTTCAGCAACTACATCAGCCACCGTGCTTGGCCAATGGTTCCATCTTCTTGGTTTGGAGATTAAACCTGGGAAAGACCCTGCTTCCTCGAGCACAGATTTTCCTCTCCTTGGAACCTGCTGGCTGAACTGGGCAAAACTGAGACAGCGACATCCTTTTAACAACCAGTTATTCTGTGGATTAGGTGGTGGCTGTGGGAAGAGGACACGCAGTAGCTGGGTGGGGCCTGGGAGAGCTGAGGAGGTTGTGGGTGCAGCCCTGGGGGAGAAGAAACAGCTCACGCTTCGGTGAAGCAACTCTGCAGTGAGCCAGTTTGCTCTGGGGAAGGTGGGAAAATGGGGCATTCAGTGCTGGAGAGCAGAAAGCTTGTTATCGCTGCAGTGCTCCTAGTCTTTGCCACAATACTGAAGCAGGTGCTGGGGGAGGTAGGTAATGACGTCCTGACAAAAGAGAGGACTCAGAAGCTGGGAACCTCTCCCCTTCCTTTGAAGTTTCCAGATTGTGCTTGTGAGTAGGAGATATGTCCTGCACCCATAACTTGGAGCCTGATTTTAAGGACCTCTGTACCTTAGCAGAACTTTTCCCTGGACATATGCCTGCAAGCAGGGATGTCGGTTTCTCTTTTAGTTCTATAATGTTTGAGACCCTTTTCCATAAAAATCAAATTCTTGGAGTGCTATGATTATGAAGGAATCACAGCTTCTATTGCAAAGTGTTTCTTGCCTGTATGGTTAGGAAAAATGTGGGAATTGAAGTGCTTTGAGGGGATAGTAAAGCAGAAAGTTGAAAAACAGAATTTACATACAATTTAATTGTCTGATTTTGGACTTGACCAGTGATTTTTGGATATTGGGGAACTGAAAGCCAATGTCAGTGAATTTGAATCCAAATAGTTGCCAAATTGCACTAGAGGAGGATTTTAGTCAGAAAGATTAGGTCTTTTCTTAGGAGGGTTGTGACAGTACCTGAGCCATGTGTTGTACGTTAAAAGAAAGGGATGCTGTTGATCTGCACGGAACAGACACTTGAACTGAGAACCAGAAGAAAGATAGAAGAGGGCACCCCATTTCAGATATTTTATTTTTAAATGTATCTTTCTGAAATTCATTTTGCACAGAGACTTTTGTTGTTGATCAATAATCAGGAAGGATCTGAAAATAGCTTCCTGTTAGGTCCTATAGGCAGGTTTTTTATGCAGAGATGTGGGACACGTTGTAGTATTTAATTGAAAACTGGGAGCTGACTTGACTCAGTTTGGACAGTAGCACTGTAGTGACTTGAGATCTTGTATCAAACAGAACAGTCAGTTTAACTTCAATGTGAAGCATTCTCCTGTAAGCAAGAGAAGGTAGAGACTATTCCAGGAGCACAGGGATAGCCCTCTGCTGAAGGAAAGCATGAGGCTAGAAGAGATTGTGCAGTTCAAAGAATAGAAGTTCTGGTTGCTGCTGTCAGTGGTTCTGCATTTCTTAGTACTAGAAGATATTTGCAGAGTGGCATCCTTATAAATTAAAAAAACTTTAAAAAAACAAACCAAAAACCACCACCCCACCCCCAAAGTTAACCTATTTCTTGTATCTCATGCTAACTCTGAAAGCCTCTGCAGAAGCTGTGTAGCCCACTTTTGCAAGGTGGAGGAGTATCAATTTATGCCCCTTCATGATTAATCCGTTTAGTTTCAACTTCAGCAGGTTTCACACAAGACAGTTTGTTCTTTGGTGATTACTGAATAAAATGCCTTAGTATGAACTTTCCCGTGTAAACCATGAAGTGAGAGAGGCTCACTGATGAAGAAGGAGGCTTGAGATAAGAATCATCTCACTGACTGCGTCTTGCGTTACCTAGCGTGGTGAGCAGTACAGTTTAGTCCTCAGACTTTCTCCTTCTGTCTTCCAGAGAGCTGATAAACTGCCATGATGAGACCATCCCTGCAACTAAGATGATGAATCTGTGATGTTGAAATCAGTACAAGCATCATCCTCTTAGGGTTATGCTTGGAACAAGATTTAACTGAAAACTGAGTCAGAGCATACATCCAACATGTACAAACGTCCCTTAGGAAGAATTTCAGGCCTTGATTTCCCAATGATGTTCATAAAAGTAGGATTGGTCCCATAATTCATGGTTAAACTCAAAACCTCAACAACAAAGTAATTGTAACTTTGGTTAATTACACCCTGTCTTCATTAACTGCAGCTGGCTTGTTTCTGTTATAGTGAAATTTTATGCCATGACCATGACAAACCAGCAGGAAAGAGAGAGAAGACAGGTATTAAACAAAATTAAGAAATCAGTCAGGATAATTTAAATAGTTTTTCAATAAAAATCTTGTTGGCAAGCTGCCCTGACACCTGGCAGAAACATTCCCTTTCCTTTTAATGTGTCTGGAAAATTTCAGACCTTTCAGTTCCCGATGTGGACTGATAAGAAGCTGCAATAAGGTGGTTCTTCAACAACAGAACTTGATTACATCTTCCTCTTCAGAGGAGCTTGTATCAAATGACTTACCTTTGAAAAAGAAAGATCAGGCCCACTTCAAGGAATTGCTTAATATAAGAACCAAGACCTAGTGCAGAGCTTAGGGTAAATGTTTTCTCAATTTCTGTACAGTTGCAGATATCATTGAAATACTGTGTCATTGTTCTTAGCACAGGACCAGCCGGTTGAATATAACCGTTAACCCCTTTGATATTAAACAAATCATAAGATATAACTGAAACATTTCTTAAGAGCAATCAGAGCTGAAAAACAAAATTCCCAATGATGCCTATATTCCTCTGCCATCCAGCAGTCTGCTGGTTGCAGCAATGCCAGGGTGGTGCTGAATTTCCCTGAAACTAATCAAAGCTTACGCATAGCTTTTGCAATATCTATGTGTCTTGTTGGAAGGTAGCTAGCAAGCACATTTACCCCTGACCCTTCTGTTACGGTAGAAACATATCTTTGTCATTTGGCTTGGTACATCTTTGAATGTTGCTGTAGCCAGTGATGCCAAAGGAATTTCCCAGAGATGGTGAAAAAGGACAACTGATATACAGGCTGGTGGGCTGGCTGTGCAAAAGAAAGGTGGAAATCAGCTGTTATACAAGTGAACAAAATGTGTAACCATTCTGTGTTTTATGCCTTAATATAAGAGAAGTTACAACATTCCTTAGGTAAGTGGTCTGTTTATAAAATTGCTTTTGATACCTGTTAATTAAATTAAGAAACAGGTTCTTGAAAAGAAAACTTCCAAAAGACTCTTCTGGAAGGATGCTTTATCTAGAATAGTCCCTAAGCACATGCACATATGGAGTATAGGCTGTATGGTTAGAAGAGACCACAGGCAACAACACCATATAATCACAGTCATAAATATGTCCCATACTATTTTTAAGTAAAACATCTTTAAACACCTACATAGTGAAGTAGTTTCCACTTTGCAGCTTTTTTTGCTGCAAAGGAAAAAAAAAAAGGAAAAAAAAAAGAAAGAAATCCTGTTCCATGCCTGAATCATTAGGGATAACTGATCAGAGGACCTGCCTGAACAGCATGAAGACTGACCAGGCAGAGCAGGCTTGGGTCTCAGCACCTGCTTCCTCTGTGTGGTATTCATCAGCTTGTAACCACCCTCAACACCGATTTACAGCTGGTAACCCAATAACTGTTCAGGGAAGCTGTTAGCACCTTAAGCAAACAACTTTTACTCCAAAATACAGAGATAAGGTTTTCCAGCAATTTTGCCTGTTTGGTGTTCGGCAACAGTGCTGAAAAGTGCTTCTACGCAGACAGTCTGCTCTGTTTTCTAATGAGACTAACTGCATGCCAGTGGCACTGTATAAAAGGTAGTGATTAATAAGGAACAACTAATTCTCCAGAAATTCAAGGAGAATGCGGTTAATTTGGGCAGTTTTTTTAAAAATTGATTTGCCAAGTTTCCTGTTTGTGCAGGACCTTGCTTCACACCATTGATGAGTCTGTTTCCTACTGCCGAGGGAGAGAAGAGTGTTTGTAGTGGAGGAGTTGAATTGTTGAGCACAGCAATTCTGTGCTGTTTTGTTACCTCTTGGTAACTTTTTTCTGTTTATGCAGATTTTTTTATTTCCGTTGTTTCACTGTGAAAAACTGAAGATGCACAGCTAGCATAAGCATCTATTCCTTGTGACTAGGTTTCTAGTTGCTATGTCCTCATTTTACAACCAATGTTTGACTTGCATTAGGAAAAACAGAGGTAAGTTACTCCAGTAAAGACCAAGTGGCCTCCTGTTTCAGCAGGACATTTCTTCTGCATTAATGCCACGCATCCAGTAGAGCCTCCCTCTTGATCCTGAGCCTTAGTTCAGGATCCTAAGTCTGAGTTCTAAGACTTAGAGATCCTAAGTCCTTAGTTCAAGTGGATGCCATGTGTGTTCAGTATTCTAGATCAAGCAGTGAACAACATATAGGCCTTACCATCGATGTGGTACTCCACGTAAGCTGCAAGCAAGCCAAAGACCAATGGTAGGTATCGTGGCTGTCTCTGCAAGCCTGGGCTTTGTGCCATAATCCTGGACACCCAAGCAGAGTGGATTCAGAAGCTGACAAAGCAGGATATAGCATTCCCATCCTCATGTAGTTTTGAATATTGCAGCACAGAGCTCAGGACAGTAGAATACAAGTCCCACTGTTTCTGCTGTAAGTTTGGGGTTTTTTCTTCTCAGTTTCTTTGTCTATCTTACCTGCTTGACACGATACTTGTGCTTAGATTCAAAATGTGGGAGGCAGCTGTTATGTGCTTGTGCTGGTTTTGGCTTGGATAGAGTTAATTTTCTTCATAGTAGCTAGTATGGCGCTATGTTTTAGATTTGTGCTGAGAACAGCATTGATGATACAGAGATGTTTTGGTTATTGCTGAGCAGTGCTTACACGGTGTCAAGGCCTTTTCTGCTTCTCACCCCACCCCACCCCACCAGCGAGTAGGCTGGGGGTGCACAAGAAGTTGGGAGGCAATACAGCTGGTACAGCTGACCCCAGCTGACCCAGGGGATGTTCCATACCATATGATGTCATGCTCAGCAATAAAAGCTGAGGGATGAAGAGGAGGACATTCACAGTAATGGCATTTGTCTTCCCAAGTAACTATTACATGTGAAGAAATCCTGCTTTCCTGGAGATGGCTGAACACCTGCCTGCTGATGCAAAGTGGTGAACGAATTCCTTGTTTTGCTTTGCTTTGCTTGCGTGCGCGGCTTTTGCTTTACTTATTAAACTGTCTTTATCTCAACCCACGGGTTTTCTCACTTTTACTCTTCTGATTCCCTCCTCCATCCTGCCAGGAGGGAGTGAGGGAGGGCTGTGTGGTGCTTAGTTGCCGGCTGGGGTTAAACCACAACAGTACTACATCATGTTTTAACAGTGCTGCAATATCAGAAATCGCTGTTCGATTTTTGGCTGGACCTTTATCTTTTCTTCTGCAGAGCCATAGCCCTGCCCCTCAGTAGCAAACTGGGTGTGAGAGACAAGCAGAGACCAAAAGCTCAGCCCAACCCCATGCTGGAAACATTCTACAGTACACGCTGCAAGAACCCTGAAGAGGTGGGTCCTTTCTTGCTTTGCTTTTGTCTGGCTTTTGTGTCCTTAGCCAAATAAAATCCCATTTGGAATCCTGAAGTTTGGTAATGCCACTTATATTTGGAAGCTCAACAAAGCAGCAGGAACCCCTACAGCACTGGCCACCTGACACCAGCCAGTCACAGGGGTCATTCTGCAAATGCCATCAGCTATCAACTCTGCTTCTGAACATGTGCAAGTAGCAGTTTTCTATAGGTAGCATTCAAAAAATTTAAATCCCAAACTTCTATGGACAGGAAACTGTTCTCCCAAAGTAAATAATGACAATTCCTGTCCCCTCTTGTGTTTGCCTTATACATGGCACAAACTGAAACACAGGATGCTGTGTCTGAACATCAGGAAACACTTTCATACTGTGAGGGTGGCCAAGCACTGGAACAGGTTGCCCAAAGACATTGTGGAATCTCCATCCTTGGGGATACTCAAAAGCCATCTGGACATGGTCCTGGGCAACCAACTCTGCGTAGCTCTATTTGAGCAGGGGGTTTGGACCAGATGACCTCCAGAGGTCCCTTCCAACCCCAGCCATTCTGTGATGGCTTCTTTTCATATATTAGCAAAGCCATGTCACATCAGCTGCGTTGAACTGACTCCCACATTGCTAGTCCTTGCAGCTCAGCAGGTGTGGATTGCTTCATGCTCCTAGTTCTGGGGTGGGTCATTCTGTTGCTGTGCAATCCATGAGTTTGAGATTGGCCTTTCAGGAAGCCAGCTAAAGTCTTGGCCATCATCACAGTGATGGTAAGGAGTGTCAGAAAATTGCAAACACAAATGGTGGGTAGTTTTCCCATGTGAGATAAAAAGAGTGTTCTCGAAGAACTTGGCAGGATAATCCAGAGCTATAATGGCTGCTGCTGAGGGGAAAAAGCATTGGCAGGATTGTGAATTGTCAGGCAGTATTAGGATTTAACCTTGTCAGTGAAGTCCCTGGATGTGACCCCCTGTGATAGGGAAAGGAATCAGATTTTCTTTCAGCTCCTTTTTGCAGCCTTTCTTGGCCTTGAAGCAGTAGCTATTAACCCTTACCAAGGATGTATGAGCAGGGGGCTGGGGTTCCAGTCCCAAGGGGTAGTCCTAGCATGAACATGTTGCTGCCTTGACAAGGCTGTTGCTGCATGGTTCGTGCTGCAGTGGGGCATGTGAAGCCCCAGGGCATTCAGTACCAGGTTAAAAAAAGAATGGAGGCTAAAATAAAAATGCGGGCATTCATCTGGGTTGTGCAGCCAGCCTTTCTTCCCAGCAGTGGGAAGGAGTGTTGTCAGGAACACTTGCCAGTATGGTGGTCCCCAGCCTTCCTCCTGCCTGTCTGTCTGTGAAATCTGCACATTTCTCAGTAAAACTACTCCTGTCACAGAGATCTAACGCAAGGTGCAGCTTTGCAAGCAGGTTTTCCCCACAGCTCTCCCTGCACCCACACTGCATTGAAGCCAGCACTTTTATCGCAGAGAATCTGTGATAACCGGAGCATATCCTCACCATGAGACTCCTGACAGCAGTGTGATGTGGAGCAAGAACAGTGTAGCTGGCTGCTGCCTTGCTCTCTCTGTTCACCAGTTACACCTCAGCCAGTCTTCTAGCCTCCTCCCTCTCCCATGAGCTGTCAGACACCTGCTTATGAGTCAGCTTTTACTTGTCCAATACAAGGTGAGATTTTGCTGTTCTCAGCAGCCTTCTTGAGAGGAGTGCCACATTATGGAGCAGCTGGAGAATATAAGTCAATATGTCCATTTCTCTCCACCTCAAGAACAGAAGTCACTAAGTAAGAGTGGAAAGAATAACATCTGAAAATTAGTAATGAACGTACTTCTGTACAACATGCTCGAACTATGTAAGTCATTCACATGATACCATTAAGGTAAATGCATTCCATGAAAAATCATTGCTTTACTTAAAAAATAAGGCTATCCATGGTGACACTTCCAGAAGGAATATAAAACATGAAAAACTTTTTTCACGTCACATGCCAAACTCTTAAGAGCCTAAGGACAGGAAGAAAGGTAATTGCAGGATTTCTGTGGGTAATCTATTGAAAAATTATCCCTAACATGGTTACCACAACAGGGGAGTATCCAGTAGGAAAATGGTGTTGCCTCTGCTCACGACGTCAGTCAGGTTATTGGCTGATACTGCACCAGAATGCTGAAAGGCATGACAAGATTTGGTGCAGAACTTTATTTCAGCTGCAGTAAATCTTTCTTGGAGTGACAGATTTAAGGGACTTGGTCCCTGAAGACCGGGTAAGGAAGTGATTCAACCACAAACTCCTGTAAGGAGGCGAGACCAGCGTTTGAAAGGTGAAACTGTAGAAGTTCACATAAAAAATGTAAAGTTTCAACATTTAGCATTAATAACCAGTTGTTTATGGGGGGAATGGAAAGATTTTCCACAATCTGAGGTCTTTACACTAAGAATGGACAGCTTTCTGAAAGATGCCTTAGCCTGAACAGATTTGGGCTTGCCAGGAGCCTCCAGCTGGGCTCTGTGGTGGGTCAGACAAGGTGCCCATACTGCCCCTTCTGACCTCTGAACCTGGATCTGAACCCTGCTTCCTCACCTCTTTTCCAGGGTGAGCTGATCAGTTTAGCCAAACAGTGCGACCTGCCAGTGAGGAAGGTGGAGAGGTGGTTCCGGTGCCGGAGGAACACAGACCGACCCAGCCTGTCAAAGAAGTTTTGTGAGGCCTGGTGAGTGGGAGCACAAGTCATCATCAGCAGGGGCCTTTCATGGGTGCTGAGCTCCGCAGGCAGCTCACTGCCTCCCAGCCTGCCCTCCACCCCTACACAGAGCATCCTGGGTCTTCCCTGCCCCACCTGGTTCTTCTGCAACTCTGCTGCTTCTCTGTTACTGAAACATTCCTTGCTTTTCATTCCCAAGTCTCCTTTTACTTCTGTCTCACCTTTATTCCTTATAGGGCCTCTGTTTCTGACTTTGTAAGACTGGCATTCTGCTTTAAAACACAGTTGTACCTGAAAAACTCCCTACTGTTTTGCATCTTACTGCTTCTTGCTGCTTTGCTGCTGTTTTGGTGCCTCCAACAGTCAGCCTTTCTGTTGCCTTTCCCGTGACTTCCCTTTGTCTCACTGCAGGCTTATTCCTTCTGCTGCATCTTTTCTGCAACTGTTCTGCGCACTGTTGCTTTCTAAAGTCACATGCAGTGGGCTAGATTGTATTCTGCTGTCGGTTGACTTGAGCATCCTGAAAGTCAAAAACCAGCACCCTTTTATAGTGGCATAAAAAGGGGCCTATGTGCAAGCTTGTGTTTTCCAAAAAGCAAAACTCTTCTTGGAAACAGCTGTGTGGAAATCCTCCTTATTATCTGGAGGCACAAAATAAATCTCACGTCAGCCAGTTCTGTGAATGTTAGTCCTGGCTAAGCTTTCCACAGTAAAGGAGGATTCTCCTAAGCTTGATGAAATGCTTATGAGTGGCTGCTCTGCTGTTCGTGTAAGGAAGTAGGTTCTCCCAGGAAAGCCACAGAGATGAAAGAAATCATTAAATACCTGCAGTGCTATTCATCTGTCTAAAAGTGCGTATCCATAGGGTAGACATCAACTTTGAGCTAATCACCTCGTGCTCCATTTAGTACTTAACCTCTAATTCAAAACCCCTGTCTAAAAACCGTAACTGAAAAAGAAAGAATAAAAAAAGGATGTGTATTATTTATTGATAATATTCCAGATAGTTGCAGTTAGACCTATTTACAAAATCTGTGAACAAAGAGTTGTAAAGCAACCATGCGTAATCTGCTGCCATCAAGATGAAGTCTAAGTTCTCCCTACACTCCCTACACTCAGCTTACTTGCAGTAAATAGTAACACTCAACAGTAAATTCTTTTCTGACTCAACTCACTGAGGATGGTGTCCTTCCATCTGCCCGCTGTCACCATTTGCAGTCTGTAAAAAGAATGTCCTTTCAATGTGACCTAGTAGCTTTGTACAGTTCATGTCTCTCTTGGAGTTCCAGGTGGAGTCCCTCTCAAAATGTAGTTACTTCTGATGTGTTATGGAGATTTTTGGAAATTAAAGGACTGGTTTAGACAGTTTTACTCCTTTGAAGATTTCCTGTGTTTAGTTTATTAATAACTTGTTTATTCTGTTGGGGTGAAATTTCCCTCATTCCTTCCTGTATGTGTATATATTCAGTGTGACCTGCCTCTGTCCAGTGAACTTGGCAAACATTTTATATGTACTTCTGTGTGGGTTTAATGTGGGTAAAACATTACCAGCTCCTGACTGAGACCAAACATGACAGTAATTACTTATTTTACATTATAATGAATTTAGCATGCCTAATCTCCAAAAGCCTAGGAGAGAGATTGGCATTGTTTGACTTTTACCCATGCATCTGCTAGTGCAGGGAAGGTTTGGGATGATTATCTGGGTGATCTTAATCAACGGGATTCTTGTACTTTCTGCCGTCTCCAACGCAGAAGAATTGCTCTTCGTGAAGTCTGTTGAATATGCTAGTGATGTGCAAAGAGCCACTCCCGTTATGATCTGGGCAAACTTTGAACATATTAATGTATGACTTTGCCTTAATAGTGTCATTCTTTGAGTGAGTGTGATTGATACGCAGAATTGCAGTTTGGTGGTTAATGAATGGGATTCTAACATACTTCTTTTTATTTGTTCGTAGCTGGAGGTTTACATTTTACATCACTTCTTTCTTCACTGGACTTGCTGTCCTGTACGATGTGAGTATCCAAGCAGTGCTGTTTGCTGTTCTACCTAGCCAGTGCCTGCAAGAATGGCAGGGTTTTTTGTCAAACATGTCCTTTCAGACCTTCTTATAGAGGTTTTCCCACCACATCAGTCTGTGTCCTCTGCACAGCACACTTATGAGACCACATACATATTGGACCATGCTTATTTTAAAAACTCAAACTCAAACCCCACAGGTTTCATCTTCTGGCAGAGCAGAAGACAATGGGGACTGTGTAAAAATACATTTCCGTGGGGTAGGAGATGGAACACATGGAGGCTGCAGGGCCTGTTTGTGTGTTGTATCCAATACCTGTTTAAGGCAAAAAACTCAGGCTTCCTTTGGAGCATGGACTGCAGTTTAATAATTTTCTTTATTAATTTTCTTTTCCTTACCCAAGGTGGATTGGTTCAGGCTCATGGCTCTGCCTTTTCCCTGATTTGTTAAATAATGAGTTCTCTTGATACGAATTGAACTGCCTCAACAGGCAGAGGAGGTAATAGAAGCCGTGTGTATGCTTTAAGCACTGAGCTGTCTTCACTAAGCTGGGACTAGGGGCACTGGTCATCCTCTGGCTGTGTTTTAAAGGTTACCCTGGCTTTTTTGCTGAATCCAATTCCCTAGGTGAGCTTTGCAAAAGTTTTCCACACTGGCACCTCCTGGGGGGTTAAGTAATGGAAAACCGGCAGATCCCAAGACAGCAGGCACAAACTATGCTTGTCACTTCTCATTATTGTAACAAGTGGAGAACTTTTGAACTTATGCTGACTTTCAAGTCAGAATTTAAGGTACTCTAGGAGTATGAGTATTACAGGATGAGCTAGCAGAGGAGTGAAGGTATCTAAATCCCAACTGCAGTGTTTTGTGGACCTGTACATCAAAATAGAAGGCTATTCTTTGAGGCTGGCTATGAAAGTTTAGTATGGATGGCCTGCTTAGCATAGTACAAGAGTCCTGTGGCAACAGAACGGGCAAAATCCTGTTCTTCTGCTTGTTATCTGACCATTCTTGGAATGAAAGATCATCTTCACTTTTTGTGAAAGTCTTTTCTTTATTCGGTTCACATCTTGCAATTTTCACAAAAAAAGGAGGTATCTATCCTATGAACAGCATCTCTAGATCCCATAGCAAATAGCATGTTATTCTGTTATCTAAAATTGTACAAAAATGACTACGTTAAAAAGAAGGACAAAGAATTAATGTGACAGGGCTTATTTGCATGTGACATTTCCTGACTTTGCATGTTTACTTTGTAATTTGAGTAGTATTTTAATATGCATTTGTTTTTGTGAAACACCCTTCTTTAGGAAAAAAGCAAGTGTTTAAATTCGATATTAGTAGCTTTAGACTTATGGCAAAAACCTCTGCCCCATGAGTCAATGAAATAGCAAGTAGCAATAGAAAGTTATCTCACAGTAGGCCACCAGAAAACAGCTTTATTTGCTGGGAGTAGAGGAATGATGAAATTCAGGGATCTGGGGTTCCCTTCTAGTTTAGGTAACATGGTGTGCTATAGTTGTTTCAGAGTTTTTGCTTTGTCCTCTCTGATTCTATATCACACGTCTCTCCTGGTTCTGTACCTCTGTATTTGCTGTAAATCCTACTCCCAGCCCCAAACCCTGGCAACAGAAGGCTGTGTCTACTCCTAATTAGCACTGCTCGTAAATAAACACTGCTTCCTGCTTCCCTTCCAGATTGCTCATGCACCAGCAGGTGCTCAATGAGAGAAGAAGAAGTGTTGCCTTCTTGCTCTTAGCTCTGATATCTGGAGCCTTGTAGGACTGTTACAGAAAATCACCCTTGCAGACGTGGCATATAGTATGTTCCATCACTGTGTGCCTAGGACGTGCTTGCTCTGATCAAATCTGGGCACAGCGAAGGGTCAGAGCATGCTCCATGCAGGACGAACTTTTGGGGACTTCAGTTGCCATGTTTCTATGAAAGTTTCTAAGCTGCCAAGTTCTAAACTACCAATTTTCTGTGAAGTGTAAACAAAGTAGGATCTTTTCAGAGGTTCATTACTTAACAGGCTGCAGCATGATCCTCACCATTAGAGGACAAACCATGTTCCTGACACACAAGTTTTCAGCTGCCTTACCACGCTTAAGTGTTGTTGTCCAAACCACAGAGATTCTTAATGAAATAGTTGTAAGAATATTTTAATATATTCAAAACATAACCACCACCACCCAAACTTGTAGAAGGCTGCAGCAAGTTGGTAGAAATCTTCCATGAGCTATTTTATTTAGAAATGGGCTAAACAGCATGTGACATTTCAGTGCAGTAGCCACAAATTGACAATGTCACAAGCAACTGCAAGTTCTTGCAGTGGAAATCTCTTGGCAACTGAATTCCAGACGCTGCGACCAGCTCTGCTTGCAATAAAGTACAACAAAGTCTGTAGTAGTAACAAACAAAAGGAGTTAGACAGTTGGTAAGAGAAGAATTCCTCTCACATTCGTGTTGCATTTTCTTTCCAGAAGCCTTGGCTTTGGGACCATAGGGAGTGCTGGACAGGATATCCACAACAGGTGAGTCATGCAAGAGGGAAAATTGCTGTTATAAATCATGCATTGTCTTTCAATATCTTTGGAAAATCAGGTTATATTAGTGACAAAAGAGAGGGTGCTGAATTAAATTTAGACTCAAGAGCCTTAAGAATTTAAAGCCAGACCCTTGTCAAGGGAGAATGTCTTTGTATCTGGTGTAATCCAAGCCCAATAGAGGATGAGTCAGGAAAGCAGGAGGAGACTGCAGAAATAAAGGGAAAGTGAGAGTTCTGACCAGGTGAGCTGAGAAACTGAAAAATGGGAATGCTCCAAGGTTGTTTAGTTTGTAGAAGAGACTGAGGCCAGAGAAGAACATGTTGCCTGAGGGGAAGTGAAGACTTCAGTGGAGAGTATGTAGAGCAGAGGACATGCTCTGAATGGTATGCTGTGTACTTTCAGCTTTATTGAAGAATCATGTTCACGGTGCTCCCCAAGGAGTTTCCCAGTGGAACTGGCAGTATAGCCAGTAGCAATACAGCATCATTCCCATTAAGTTCAGAGAATGCTGTCTTACATTGTAAAACTGTATATTCTGAGTTTTTTCACAACAGTACTGCAAGAAGCTGTCCAGTGGGTTGGAAAGCCTACATCTCTTATCAGCCCAGCCCAGAATAACCTCAATGAAAACTGCCAGCTAGGCAGAAAATTTTCTCCTTGTTCCTCAACACAAGGAGCAAAGATAGCCCAGACCAGAATTACCTCAATGAAAATTGCCGGCTAGGCAGAAAATTTGCTCCTTGTTCCTCAACACAAGGAGCAAAGATAGCCCAGACCAGAATTACCTCAATGAAAATTGCCAGCTAGGCACAAAAATTGCTCTTTGTTCCTCAACACAAGGAGCAAAGGTAGCAACCAAAAGCCAGGTACTTTTTTGACCAGCTGCCTCCCTTGTTATGCCTACTCCCATAACTTGAGAAGTTGGAAGAGTTAGAAAGGAGCTTCACCCACTGAGCACAGGAGCTATTGCCTGCTTTGCTTTTCCCCTTATGTTTTTATGTGCTCTGAATTCTCTAGAGGAGATGACTATTGCCTGTTCTGTAGCAGGAGCCTTCCTATATCACACTGCTGTGGATGTCAGAGCAGACATAGTAAAGAGAGCTAAATTTCATTAAAGTGAAAAATCTGATTCCAACTTTGGAAGAGGTTCCTCTATCCTATGGGAGCAGCTGGTAAGTGTTTGTAGCAGGATAGTAATCTGTATTATCATGCAGGAAGCTGCCATGCACAGGATTTTACAGTACTAGAATTTCCTGGGTAGGAAATAAAATCTTTCATTAACTGAAGAGGAGGCTGAAGGAAACTTGATCCCAGTACCAAGACAAAGTGAAGACTGCCTATGTTCCAGGACTTTTTGGTCTGGCAGTCAAAGTTAGAGCAAGACCTCATGACTGTATATTGAGGTTGCAGACCCGTAAAGGGAAATGTAATGCACAATTTTAACAGTGTGAGCCACAGGAAACATAATGGAACAAATGAGTGATGAATAAGGTAGTATCTTTCAAGCCAAGTCTCCAAACAATCCACTGTCACTCAAAGGCAGAAATTTTAGGCGCAAATCTGTAGTTCAGTGTGAAAGCCAAACCATACAAACAGGTGGTGCTTGAATAGGAATGTAAGACTAAAAGGATCACTTGGGTCCTTGCCTCCCATTCTGTACATTTGGAGTCCATGTCTTTTCAAAAACAATCCAAGTCATCATAACAGCACACCGGGGTGGGTTGACTCTGGCTGGCCACCAGGTGCCCACCAACCCACTCTGTCTCCCCTCTCCTCAGCTGGACAGAGGAGAGAAAATACAACGAAAGGCTTGTGGGTCGAGATAAGGACAGGAAGATCACTTACCAATTACCATCACGGGCAAACCAGGCTTGTCTTGGGGAAATTAATTTAATTTATTGCCAATCAAATCAGAGTAGGATTGTGAGAAATAAGAACAAATCTAAAAACACCTTTCCCCCACTCCTCCCTTCTTCCTGGGCTCAGCTTCACTCCTGACTTCTCTACTTCTCGCCCCGAGCTGCACAGGGGGATGGGGAACAGGGGTTGCAGTCAGTTCATCGCACATTGTCTTTGCCAGTCCTTCCTCCTCACACTCTTCCCCTGCTCCAGCGTGGGGTCGCACCCACAGGAGACAGTCCTCCACAAACTTCTCCACCATGGGTCCTTCCCGTAGGGAACAGTCCTTCAGGAACAGACTGCTCTGGCACGGGTCCCCCCATGGGGCCACAGGTCCTGCTAGGAGCCTGCTCCAGTGTGGGCTCTCCATGGGGTCACAGCCTTCTTCGGGCACATCAACCTGCTCCAGCGTCAGGTCCTCCACAGGCTGCAGGGGAATCTGCTCCAGCACCTGGAGCACCTCATCCTTCTCCTTCTTCACTGACCTGGGAGTCTACAGAGTTGTTTCTCTCACATATTCTCACTCCTGTCTACCAGCTGCTGGTGTGCAGTGGTTTTTACCCCTTCTTAAATATGTTATCACAGAGGTGCTACCACCGTCGCTGATGGGCTCAGCTTTGGCCAGCGGCAGGTCCATCCTGGAGCTGTCTGGAACTGGCTCTGTCAGGCATAGGGCAGCTTCTGGCATCTTCTCACAGAAGCCACCCCTGCAGCACCGCTCCTCCACCCCCCTACCAAAACCTTGCCACATAAACCCCATACACACACTTTGCAACATCTGTAACAAACAGAAAAGACCAAAACCAGACCTAGTCATGTCCCACTGGCAAAGAGCAAGAAAGGTCAAGGACAAACCTGTGTATTGGCAGGAACAAAGAATGTATTAAATACAATTTCTGCTAAACAGACCTTGTCCTGTGCTAAACACAATGACAAAAGAAATGCTAGTTCTCCCAGATAATCTGATCTTTGGGAAAAAAATCCCTTCTGATCCAGAGCTCCTGTTTGGATAACCTGCAGAGTGTGAACAGCATGTACCAGCCTGGGAGATGTTAACTGTCTCCCCTGCTAGCACCAGTGCATCCAGCTGTGCTTCCTCTTGCGGCCAATCACTGGTGCCACAAAGGAAAACAAACTAAAATCTATGAAGGCCATAAATCAACACTTTGGGTAGAGAAAGCCCAAATAAATTGGTATTTGGGAGCACCATACTCCATGATTCTTTGGAAAAGCTAGTTGCAAAGCCCCTTTAGTCATAGGAATTTTTTTTATTGACTAGGTTCAGGTTTAAGGAGGCCATATAGTGCCACAACAGTGAAAAATTACTTGTTAAATAGCATATATCTTGCTAAGTGGGTCTAAGCTTTTAGTTTTCCAGCTGTAAAACCCCAGAAAAATTACCCAGAAGAATGCAAATTACTGTTCACACTGAGATTGCACTTTACCCCATTAGTTTGATTCAACTGAAAAATCTGTGAAGGGTACAATGTGTCTGAAGCATCTCCTTGAATCCTAAAAAGGGTATGATTTATTCAGCTACTACTTAGCTATTTCACCATAATGGAATGGTTTACATAGCTTTTAAAGCTCTATACTGACTGCTCAGGAATCTGCACAGTGCTGAAGAAATGCTGAAAATATTCTGGATCTTCCGGGTGATTCCCTAAATGTTCCACATGGTGCATCAAAGTGGAATTTCCCCTGCTATTTGCATTTGCTTCAGCACAGATGAGATTTAATAAGTAACCATATAGTTCAATTGAAGTATTTCCTCCTGAAGCTCCAAGAACCAGTTTTGTTGGTTTGGTTGTCTGGTATTCTTTTGCCTAGGAAGCAGTCTTCACTTCCAGCCCTTGCTCTACTTTATCTGATGGGTATTTCACTGTCTCTCCCCCTCTCACAGCCTCTCCAACCCTCCCTGTTCTGGTACTACCTGCTGGAGCTCTCCTTCTACTGGTCACTGGTCTTCACCCTGCCTTTTGATGTGAAGAGGAAGGTGAGTGGCAGCCTCAGAGAAGAATCAAGCACAAACAGGACCCAAGCTGATCGCTCAGGAGAGTGATCTCCAAGAGCACGTGTGTAGTGCTAGTCTGAGGTTTTGGGGGATTCTGCCCTTGCTCATTCCCAGGAATTTCCATTCCCAACCACTGGCTTCCCTCTCCTCTGGGAAGTGGAGAACACGAACCTAACAGAAAGGTGCAAACTAGTGCAGAGTTCTCAATCCAAACTTCAAAATTGCTCTTCTGGGACTCTTCTAAGCTGCACTGATCATAGAGACAGGAAAAGAGATGATTCTCTGCCAGTTAAGCTGCATGTGTTCCTATGTGCCAGTGCCCCGACAGACAGGGTGCTGCGTGATTACATAGGCATACACATGCATTGAGGCTGCAAATATACACTTACGAGGAAAGGGTGGTTGTGAGTCTCCATCAGCGAGCCTGGCGGTATGAGATGATTGTGCAAACAGGTAGGCATGCACAGGGGCACAGAGCAGAGATGGATATGGGCACTGCTTTGTGACAGAAAGGAAGCGCTCTTTATGTTGAATTTGTCTGTACTGAATCATTGGCTTTTATTATTCTGTATTCTGATTTGCACCATCATCAGACCATTACTGGTGGACTGGAGGGAAAGAGTGTTCTTTGTTGTGAGATCCTCAGTTTCCAGTATAAACTCTTCATTCCAGCTTCTCTTGGTTACCTGCATTTCTAGAATGTGTTTGGTAAAACAGTTATATGGGTAAGACCTTATAGTGGGAGGTTTCTTAAGTCATTGGGTAGAGACATTTCATTGCTACCTGCAGGAGGCATGCTTTAACCAGGGCAGAAGGTGCATTATGTATTTTATTCTCTGCTGTCCCCTTTCTCATCAGGATTTCAAGGAGCAGATAGTCCATCATGCTGCAACCATTTTCCTGATCAGTTTCTCCTACTGTGCCAATTACATCCGCATTGGGACACTGGTGATGGTGATTCACGATGCTTCTGATTGCTTCCTAGAGGTGAGCGCCACAACTTAAATGCTAGGCAAAGCCTAGTTAGCAATGGTGCTCTTCAGCCAAAGGGTGTCTTTTGATCTAGCACAGCATGGGCCAAGCATTATGGTGTTTCACAGATAACTCAATACTGATCTCCTGACCCAGCCCAGGGTGCCCTGCAGGGACCCAGGAAGAAGCATGATTACCTGCATGCAGATTGTATTGTATCTGGCTCATTAGCCTCCTGGAGCATGTGCAGATGCACTGTCTTGGCCTGCTGTTTTATTGTTCTTTCTCCTTCCAGCCAACTAAGATATTCAATTACATGAAGTGGAAAAAAACTTGTGACAGCCTCTTTATGATCTTCTCAGCTGTTTTCCTCATCAGCCGCCTGGTCATTTTCCCCTACACGTAAGTCTGCTGCAGTCAAGGGAAATGGAAAAGCTGCTGTCTGAGACAGGATAATTCAGCTGGGTGCTGAATCTTTTGCTGCAGCCTTTGCTTTTCAATCCTTGAGCATATGTCCCAGCCCTTTGCATAGGCTACAGTGCCACATGGCTGTTGCACCTGCCTTGGGGTAAACTAAGGTGGTCTGCCTTGGAGTTCATAGAGTAGTTTTAAAGTCCTGAAGTATACTGCAGAGGAGAAGTCCTCGGCCTGTGGCTCTATCCTGCTTATTTCTGGTGGGGACCTGAGAGTTGGCTCACATGTGTTATACGTAAGAAGGAGGTGACTGACCTGAAGCTTCCTCTATGACTAGAGCTTTCTGGGGCTTAATTACGGCCCTCCTAACAACAAGCTTTCCCTCCACTGCAATTCCCTCTTTCTTGCAGAGTGCTCTATAACACCTACTATTACTCCATGGAGATATTCCAACCTTTCTTTGGATACTACTTCATGAATGGTCTCCTGATAATTCTGCAGCTGCTCCATGTCTTCTGGTCCTGCCTAATTATTCACATGGTCTACAAGTTCATCCTCCAGGGCACGGTATGGATCACTTTTTATTCCCCTGTACATCACATGGGGAGGGAGGGTCCACCTAGGCCGCTTGGGAGCACAGGAGTTCATCTGGGATGGATTCCTTCTTGCCCTAGTGAAATTATACATGTACATTCCTAGCAGTGGGTTGAAAGGAACACTCACTATTATTAGGGAAAGTTGACCAAAAAAAGGTAAAGTTTTTATGAGTCACTACAATATTGGGTCCGCTTCTGATGCTTGTATTCAAGAAGAATGCGGATTGGACTCCAGGGAAGATTTCCATGAACAAAGCCAATGACATCTGAGTAAGGATCCCAACACTTAGGCCAGTATGCTTTGCATTTGTAACAAACTAAGATATCAAGGCAGGGAAAGTTGTCATGATTGGTGAGGCCAGTGCAAAAGCGCTTCCGTTATAGTACAGGATTTTTAATTACAATGTTACTGAGATCACAGAATCACAGAATGGCTGAGGTTGGAAGGTACCTCTGGAAGTCTTGTCCATATTCCCAGGCTCAAGCAAGGTCACCTAGAGTAGGTTGCCCAGGACCACGTCCAGACAGCTTTGGAATATCTCCAAGGACGGAGACTCCACAACCTCTCTGGGCACCCTGTGCCAGTGTTTGGTCACCCTCGGTAAAAAAGTGTTTCCTGATGCTCAGAGGGAGCCTCCTGTGTTTCAGTTTGTGCCCATTGCCACTTGTTCTGTCACTGGGCACTACTGAGAAGAGCCTGGCTCTGTCTTCTTTACACCTTCCCTTCAGGTATTAATATACATTGATAACATCTCCCTGAGCCTTCCCTTCTCCAGGCTGAACAGTCCCAGCTCTCTCAGCGTTTCCTCCTATATGAGGTGGTCCAGTCCTTTCATCATCTTTGCAGTCCTTCACTGGACTGTCTGCAGTATGTCCATGTCTCTCTTGTACTGAGAAGCCCAGAACTGGACAAAGCACTCCAGGTGTGGCCTTACCAGTGCTGAGCAGAGGGGAAGGATCACCTCCCTCAACCTGCTGGCAACAGTCCTCCTAATGCAGGCCTGGAAGGGCAAGGGCACATTGGTGGCTCATGTTCAACTTGGTGTCTGCCAGGACCTCCAGGTTTTTCTTAGAAAAGCTGGTCAGCCCCCAGCATTTACTGGTGCCGAGGGTTGTTCTTCCACAGGTGCACAACTTCACACTTCCCCATGTTGAACTTCACAAGGTTCCTGTCAGCCCACAGCCTGTCAAGGTCCCTCTGGATGGCAGCACAATCCTCTGGCAT